AAAATGCAAAATTGGAAATGCAGATTTAGAAAGCAGCGCGTCCCTAATTAAACTTTCTTTTTTTTTTTTTTGATGCTTCTGATGTTTGGGAGGAGCAGAGGTCTGCATGTTAATTTCACTTCACCATAAATTAATTTCTCTGGCAACGTGGAAGATCGATTCTCTTTTGTCTAATGGTTTGTGTGGCTCTCACCACCATCTAAGAGCAACACATCAAACTTAAAAATAATGTATAGCCCCAGTGATAGCATGGGGATTTTTTTTCCCTATTGTTTTTCAGTAGTCGGAGTGGCTTTGCCATTTGTAAGGAATTGAGTTAGCAATTTAAATCCAGACATCTTTTCATCCTTTAATAAGAATCTGTAACTAATTAGCTGTATATATATGTACAAAAGTACGTATACCTAAATTCTAGTTATGGAGTTGGTATGAATACCTAAAAAATGGAAAAATAAGGCCTAAAAGCTGTCATTCTGAAGTCTTCCCTTTCATGTCCTGTTTTCTCATTTAATTTTGACTCTAATTGTGCCAGAGGCAGACTACTGAGCAAGGTAGTATTTCCAAAGGTGGCTGTTTCCAGGTGAGACTGGCCTGGGCAAGCTGGAGCTGGTTGCTGCCATAAGTGCTGTGGGAAGGGGGATCTGCATTTGTGCACTAATGATGTGAAAAAACAAACGAAAAATTATCTCACTGAACATCCAGCACTTGCCTTAGAACATGAACACTCACGTTGTCAGTCAAACTTCCAGTCTCAGTGAAACAGTTGCTCAAATTACTGGATATAATCTGACAGTATATTACTGATTTGCAGCTTTGGTAATCAATGCTAAAATTCTTCTGCAGCTTCACTTCCAAGTGGAAAGTTTCTAGCCTGGTTAAATCTAGCAAAGGTGCATTGCATGGTGCATGACTTTTCACCTGTGCTAGCTCTTCCAGAACTTGCTGGGTTCCAGCTCTGTTATGGCTCACTAACTTGGTTTTGCATGTACTATGTGTGTATACCAACTGTGAATCAACATTTAAAACACTCAGGACCATAAGAAATGAATTGTAAATACTGACTTTATGCAGTGGCAGCCCTGTCCAGCCCTTTGGCAGATGGGTTTACCTCCAAGCTTCATTTCCCTCCAAAGTATCTCTGGAAATTTGTCACACATTTTGGTTTCTTGCATAACATTTTTGTCATAATTCTGTGTTCCAAACTTCTCACATGCCCACTCTGCAATCCTTTTTCCTACTGACCAGAAACAGGGAGCAACCTGAAAAAGTTGTCCACACATCAGGGAGAGTTCCTCTTTCTGAACAGCAGTGAGGACAATATTTGTTTATGAAGCAGTGTGTGGACAGATGAGGGTTTGGACTGGTGGAGAGGGCCCTAAACATTTGTTTAAGAAGATGGCAGGTTGCGCTCAGGTAACCAGATGTCACTAGATTATGTATGCAGGTATATGCAAACATTACAAGGAAATAAACATTTTTATAACAGAAAGTGACGCTCCCTTTTGAAGCAGGACTGCAAGACAATAGAAGGACTTTTAAAGGTTTTTAACCATGCAGGCGGTACCTTTGCCAACACTGTTTTGTGAGAGCAGACCTTGAGAGATCCAGAAGTTGATGAGAGGCACAGCAGTGTCAGAAGCGAGGGAGGGATGAACTGGAGGCGAGTACCAAGGCTGTGCTCTGAGCTGTTACAGGAACACATGGACACGTGTGCCCTGTCAAGCTTTCCTTCCACCAGACACTGCTCTGCTATATAAACCCCCCCCCCCACACACACACACAGGGCAGCTTATATCTGCATTTATATAAGCCCCAGTACTTTTGCTTTAAGTCATAATTAGACTGAGGGGCGAATTGCTATCACGACATGTTCCCTCCTACAACTATAGAAATAAGCTGCTTTTGCCTCACCTGACTCTGCATATTTAAGCTGTCTGTTTTTTCTGCAAGTCTTCAGCCTCATTTGTAAATGCTAATTCTGCTTATGGTAAGCTATATCTTTAGTGATTTCAATCTTAACATTCACTGTGGGCTTGCTTAAAAATAATAAAATACTTTCATAAAAATAATTTCCCCCAAATATCTCCTTTTTATACTTCAATAACATAAAGTTCTATGCAAGCTAGGCAATATCTGTGAATATATCTGTATTAAGGTATATAGGAATGTATATCTATTTCTAAGCTATTTAAACATCACAAACGG